GATTTTGATTTTTTTATTTCTTTTTTTTAGTTTTTATCAAATTTCTTTTTGAACATTCGAATTTTATCAAATTTAACTTCTATCAAATTTTCTTTTCAACATTTAAAATCCTGATAGCATCTTGATGGATCCTTTTAGATTTTAAAAGTTATGAGAAAGTTTATAAGAATAATCCTAAACAGGCTAATAGTCTCATTTGACTGTGTAGTGGTTATTTTATCTAATAATATGCGAGTGAACATCACCTCCTTGAATGTTTTTTCCTTAAAAAAAAAAGGAAAAAAAGAAGAAGCTGCCACCCTCCTTAATTGAATTGAGGTAAAGCTAAAGAAACTAGGCGTGTGTAAAACAGATCGCCCGAACAGGGAACCGCCCGGATCGGACCGGCCGATTTGATCCGGTTCCCAAGCGTGTCAGTTTGATTCCCGATTCCTAAAAGTGGAACCGGTGTCCGAGCTGTCCGATTCCCAGTTTCAAGGGAGAACCGGACCGGACCGACTATATATATTTTATTTTTTTTAAAAAAAATTAGTAAAACATGAACTAAATCCTAAGTGAACTTCATCGACATAAATTCATTGACAAAAATTAGTAAAATGTGAACTAAATCCTAATAAACTTCATTCACATAAATTCAATGACAAAAATTAGTAAAATGTGAACTAAACCCTAAGTGTTTGATAAAAAAAAACTAAATCCTAAATGACCGGTCCCCGGTTCCTAATTTTGGGAACCGGTTCTCCAAGTCCGGTTCTCAATTTCACCTTAGAACCGAATCGGATCGGGAACTGATCACCCTTAAGAGAAACAGCAAAGCATTTCAATAATTTTCACGGGCACTGTCACAATCACTGTCCCTCCATTACTCAGATGTATCATAGAAATAAATTAATAAATGCTATAGACCCATGGTCTTCAAATCGATTTGATCGGGCGATAAATCAAGTAAAAATTATACAAACAGTCTCTAAACTTTGGCCCAAAGTACAATTTGATCCATAAACTTTTAATTTATTTAATATAATCCCTAAACTTTAGTCTAATATTCAATATGGTCCATGAACTTTTAATTTATTTAATTTGGTCCTTGAACTTTGACTACATTGAATATTTTCATATAGTTCAGGGACTAAATTGAATATGTACCAAAAGTCCAGGGAGTTCAAGGACCCCATTGAACATTAACAAATTAAAAGTTTCGAGACTAAATTGCACATTATAATTTGAAAACTATTTGTGTGATTATCCCATAAATCAAAAATATTTTTATATTCACGTTTGGTGAGACCTCCCCCTAATGTGTTTCGTCTGTCTTGTTGCTGTTTATGGCTGCCGGCTGCTGATAATTACCTGCCCGCCGGGCCCTATTTTGACTATGACACTGAGAATTTCATTACTATTTTCTTGAAATTATCAAAGCAATAACGCGTTGTGCAATGGACCAGAGATATTATTACAAGCACTGTGTCTTAGTTAAAAGGTGCACCTTGACAGCTAAGGGTACGTGATATTAAAAAATGCACCTTTTGCATGCAACAACTGTGTACAGCTGAGCTAACCTCGACCTTCCGATGACCTTCCTTTGGCTTCGAACAAGTAATCAATGAACCTTCATTTGCTTGACCCTTCCCAGTATAAATAGCCATTGCTTCGAAATGCTTCTCATCACAAACACCCATCATCCCATTCAATTGGATTCATCCTCTCTTTTTCATTCATCTCCTTCGACCTCAGTTCAGTGGTTATTGAGAACTAGCTAGTTGTCATGGCTTCTTCTATCTTTGCAATTCTCCTCACTTCCATTCTGCTCGAAAGTTTGATGGTTGCATTTGCCGGCAACTTCCACCAAGAGTTTGACATAACCTGGGGGGATGGCAGAGCTCAGATACTCAACAATGGAGATCTCCTCACTCTCTCTCTTGACAAGGCTTCGGGCTCCGGCTTCCAATCCAAGAATGAATATATTTTCGGTAAAATCGACACGCAACTTAAGCTAGTCCCTGGAAACTCTGCTGGCACTGTTACTGCATACTATGTAAGTATCCAGTACCACCCCACAAAAAACAAAAGCTCAAGCTTTGCCTCTATATATAAATAGCCGTTTGTAATCTTTTGCTGATATATGTGTATATGCATTGCAGCTATCTTCAAAAGGGTCAACGTGGGACGAGATAGACTTTGAGTTCTTGGGAAACCTGAGTGGCGATCCATACATTCTTCACACCAATGTGTTCAGCCAAGGCAAGGGAAACAGGGAACAGCAATTCTATCTCTGGTTCAATCCGACCGCTGATTTCCACACCTACTCCATCCTCTGGAACCCGCAACGCATCATGTAAGAATGGGGACAATCCCGAAAGGCAATCTCACTGGCATGTACACATTCTCTGCGGTATTTATTCACACACCTTTTGTGTGCGTGCTTTACAGATTCTCAGTGGATGGCACTCCGATCAGAGAATTCAAGAACGCGGAATCGAGCGGCGTTCCATTCCCCAAGAGCCAACCCATGAGGATTTACTCGAGCCTCTGGAATGCGGACGACTGGGCAACGAGAGGCGGGCTGGTGAAGACAGACTGGTCACAAGCTCCATTCACGGCTTCATACAGGAACTTCAATGCCGATGCCTGCGTTTGGTCCTCTGGGTCGTCGTCTTGCGGGTCCAACACCGCCTCAAGCGATGACAATTCTTGGCTCACGCAAGAGCTGGACACGACCAGCCAAGAGAAGCTGAAATGGGTGCAGCAGAATTACATGATCTACAACTACTGCTCTGACTCCAAGAGGTTCCCTCAAGGCTTCCCTCCAGAATGTAACCTCTCTTAAAATAGAGGAGGGTGAGCGAAAGAGAGTGAATGCTAGGCTTTGAACATGGGACAATTCTTTCATTGAATTCTCATATTCTGTAATATGTTTTACAATACCTTATTCATTATGTAATATTCATCTTGGTTGATTATTTTGCCTCCTTTGGCAGTTTAGAACAATAGAAAGCGAAATTTGGTCATGTAAAGAGTGTATCGGCTTTTCATATAAGAAATTATGTTTTTATTAATTCATTTTTTCCTTTGACTTAAGCACATATCTTGCCACTTTGGTGTTTGTTTGTTTTTTTTTTTGGTCCGACTTTTGTTTATACAATTGGGTGAAAAAAAATTTTGGAGAAAATTCCAAATAAGTGTATGAAGTGGTTATAACAATTTCAAATAAAGGCTTAACCTCGTTGGCTAGCTAAACATTACAGCTGGTCAAGAATATTTTCATCCAAAGATAATTTGAACATAAATTTTAGTTAAATTAGATTAAAAATGAAGAAAGCTAAAAGTTTTTAAAAAAGAATAAATTACAAGCGGTAGGGCTGGTGCCACCGCTCCATTGCCAATGGGGCGTTAGCAATGGCCGGTGAGGTCATCGACGCCTCGATGAGGGCCCGTTAGCCTTTGCTAGAACGGGAGAGGGCCGCCATCTGGCAAAGGCCAATAGGCCCTCGCCAAGCGTCGACAACCCTATCGGCCATTGCCGACACTCCACCGGCGATGCGACTGCCACAAGTGAGGTTTTTTCTTTTGTTTTATGTGTTTGTGTGTGTGTCTATGTTTTTTTTTATTTTTAAGTTTTAGCCTTTTTTTTGTTTTGGATATTTTAACCTAATTTAATTAATATTTTGTATAAAAACTAGGATTCGGATCAAAACAATGTCGTTTTAGTACTCTAGTTAACCTTAATGCCACGTAGGACGCCACGTGAAAGAGATAAAATGTTTTAAAAAATCACGTTAGCATTTTTCATTAGTCAAATTAGACAAAGTTAGTGGAAGGACTTGATTTTTACACAAAATTAGAGTCCTAGGCGAGGGTCACCTCACCCAAGTCCTCTCTGGCTGCTGGGCGAGGCGACCCTCTGGATGAGGACGGCCCTCACCTGTGGCTTTTAAGGGCGGCCTTGCCCAGCCGTCTTTATGTATCATCGATGGCTGGCAATTGCCTAAGACTAGCCACCGGCGAAAAGGAAAGTAAAAAACAGATAAAGAAAAAAAAATAAAAAGTAAAGGATAAGAATGCCCTTAAGCCCTTCTTTAAGTCTGACATGACCACTTTAGGCCATTTTTTTTTAAAGAAAGTTCACTTCATGCTCTTATTTGAAACAATATCCATTTCAAACTTTTATTTGCGCAAAAGATGGCACTATAAATCCTTATTTGAAATTTTTCCTAGAACATATTTAGTCCTTGAAGTCAATTTGATTCATTTGGCATCCGACGGAGCAATCCAACTCAACTATATAACCCAAATTGGCGATGTTGTCAGGATAATATTATAAAGAAAGAAAAAAGACAAAAATGTTGGGGGGGAGGAGGGGGAGGAGAAGCCCGGATTCGAGTGCATTAAAAATAACACATTAAACAGATATATTACTTAGTTAGAGAAATAAGAAAGCTTTAATAAATTATAACTATTCTTTGACACAATTTATTACATTCCCTTCTTAATTAAACGGAATCAATAATTATTGTTCCTGTAATACTATGAAAATATAAATATTTATCTAAATTATCGATAAAATCTTCCAGTCAATAAAAAAAAAATTGCAACTTCTTTAAAACGTAGAGCATTCACATTTTATTTTATTTTCTAATTTTGGAATAGACTTATTTCACATATTGCTTCCGTGACAGCATGCTAATGATTAAAAAATATGATTTAAGCCAAAAAAAATGTTCAAAAATATGCAGGCAGAAATAACCTTGCGAAGGACGGGCCAAGTAACTAATTATATTGAAAGCCAAACTAAAATTGTTCAAATGAGCAGAGAGGTTCCATTTCCTCGTAAAATCTATGAAAACAGAGCGATAAATCTAGGGATACGTCAAAGCCCTCCAAACAGTTCATCTTCATCTGATCTGAGATGGAAGCATCTTGTAGGATCGGATTCTGTTCTTTCTCCATTGGGATCAAGGTTTTTATGGAACAGATACATAGCACCAGCGAAAAGTCCAAGGTACCAAATGCTCTCTTCTTTAGAACAAACCTCAGAGAACATATATATTAGTTTTGCCTTTACTTTGTGCTGAGTAACCAATATATAAGACAAAGTAAGCAACAATTCAACTTGATCTCGAAGATGCTGAGATAATGCCTAGCTAGTTTGGTCTGTCACAAGAGTAAAAGTAAAAGGAGGATCTTGGTCTTGGATTCAAGCTTTTTCAAGTGAGAGAACATTTATGCAACGAGGCGGAGAAAAGTGTGCCTGAACAAGACGCGAGGCCCAGTCAACGATTCCCCTATACGACAATATTTTTTACATAACACCCGCTGCAGAGTTTACGTTCACCTTCTTGATGCGTCACGTTCTAACCTTCCATAAAGAATGACAAGGGCAAAATTTGGTTGAAATCTTAGAGCGAACAAGATAACTGGTCACATAATCTCTACTTAATGAAGTATTTCATTCTCGGTGTCCGACATCAAAACTTGGACAAGTCATCCTGACTGCTGTTCATCTCCATCTTTAATGACTAGTGCCATTGAGTCTCCAGTTCTGTTATCACCTGAAGCATCTTTTCCAACTCCATCCTGCAAGCAAGCTTAATATTTGAGACTGCAAGAAAACGAATACACAACCTAGATGGGAACATCCATGAAAATACATCGGAATGAAACAAAGATGAGAAGGGCTGATACTTTATGGAGTGAAGAAACGAATCCAAGGAAGCCATAAGCACATTTGCTTGACTGAAGCAAGATTTGTGCACAGCTTGGTGATCTTAAACTGCTAAAGCAAACATCAATCTCTCGTCATATCCTAAACTCATAACACTAGGCCAAAGTTCGTTTATGATGTATGCTAGATATCTCCAAAGGTAACATCAAGAATAAAGACATTCTAGATAGCTTATTAAAAGAATAATGAAACTCAATTGTGGTGCCACCATCAGGAAACATTTTCTTATAAAAATTGTCTCGTTACATAATGTTCTTAGTAAGTTTTCAGCATTGCAATCCTCATCGAAGCAGGACCCAGAAATGTTTTTTTTTTTTGGTAACCCAGGGAACCCCCGCACGGCCGACAGCCGGGGAGTAAACCCTGGGGGCGACACGTGCTAGCCACCACACACGTGCCACCGGTTAAGTCACCCTGCGGCGCCCGGGATTCGAACATTCAACCTTTTGCGAGAGGAAGAGTGCGCGCTCCAGCAGCGCCACCCAGGCGGGTGGTAGGACCCAGAAATGTTTATATCAATGTAAACCTAGAATTAGGATGCAAATGAAATAAAGCTGTAAAAAGCATCCCAAGCAAACCCCATCAAGAATAGGACAAAGTAATGGCCTGGATATCTCTAAGAGTAAATACTTTGCAAATAAGCAAACCTTTTTAGTGAAGCCCTGCGCTGACATGAGTTCATAAAACTTGCGCATGAGCATTTCTTCCTCAACCTACAAGACAGATCAAGAAATTTTAATACCTACTTGAGAATCCATGGAATTCAAAATTTACAAACATCCCAGCACAAAGTCAACGTCGTGCATAACCCCTTCAGACAAAAAGGAATCGATTGTTTATTAAATTATGCATTCAGCAGGACTAATATATAAACTCCACACCAAAAAACTTTACTCGTTCAATAACAATGCCCTAAATCTGCCAACTAATAATACTAAAGACCAACAGCCTATGGCACACTAACTCACTAGATCATCATGGTAACATTCAAGTGAGCTACAGATACAAGATAACATGAGAAGTGGTGATGAAAGATGTCTACCTAATTTCAGCAAAAGCATGCAATATCAAGATGATTCTCATTTAGACTTCAGGCGATATATTAAATGACCTTCATCTGAAGATAACATGTCTTTTGCAGTACAGAGATTCATCATAGCCACAATCATCTCCAAAAGAGTTACTCATTAAAAGTATCTGTAATTAGAGATAGATGTCTCCATCTATCAAGATAAAAAGGATAATAGATATCTCACGACTACACTTTACTCTGGGGGGCCAATGGTCAGCATTCTGATGATAAAATAATAACAGCAGCTACAGTAATTCCCAAGCTCATTCCAAACAATCTCTGAGCTTTTCTAACCAAAAATCTCAATGGGAAACCCTAAAATATTCCTTCCCAATGTACAACCGTATATGCACCAGTAAATTTGGGCTCCATGGCAGTTTTATGATTATCTTATATGAAATTCGTAGTTGAACGTCTTCTGCACTGATTGAGGTTGACGGTGCCAAGGTAGCCATACCATAGCTGGTGGCAATGGATCGAGGGTGCCGCTATTAATTCTCAAACTAGAGCTTTCTAGCTTTCTACAGATCAGTGTTTTATTTTTGTCCTACAATGACCAGTCAAGTGACAAAGTGACCAAGGGAACCATCAATCAATTTATGGGGCAAAGAGAACTTTCTTTTTTACTAGAGAGTTGGCAAAGCATAGTAAATATTAGTCATGTGGTTCCATTACCTATCCAAGTGATTGAAAGCTCTAGTATAGATCAATCCAAGCAATAATGAAAGTGGTTGCTATAGTTTCAATTAGTAGTATGAGTGATGTCCAATTCACATATTCCATCCTGACAGTTAACTATTTTAATAATTCGTAAGACCTCCTCCACAAATTGCATTAAACTATGCACCTGGGCTGATTTGCAGGCCAGTTTCCAGGTTTTTAACCTACACTTCACCAGGAGGATGTAAATCGAAACTGGAGTGATCATAATTGTAATAAGTAACTTGGATTCAACATATCATTACTCTTTGGGGTCTATCAAAAAGTTGAACATCTTGTCATGGAAAAATCCTGGGAGTAATTGAGTTACTCCAAGTCTAATGATTTAACTATCTTCCTTAAGCATATATCCATCAGAAATAAAACAATGCTTACGGCAATAGCCCAACATTCACTACATTTTCAAGAAGAAATATCCTAAATCAGTGAACTAACATAATTTGCAGCAATAACTGAAAAATATATCAATGGGACTTCAATTAAGTAAAATACCTGCAGCTTGTGTAGTTCATGTGACATTGATCTGTAGGCATCCATCAGCAACTCATTTTGCTTCTCCAAATGCCTGCTCAACAAAAATTTAACCAAGTTCATTGAGAACGTTCAAAAGCCCTCAACACCAAACAGCCCACATACCCATCCACCCAAACAAACCAAACCCTATAAAGTTAGATTGATTAAAAAATTCCAAGGGAAGTGGCGCCCAAAAGCTTCCAATGGAACTAACTACTGGAGACTGTTTGAAATTGATACAGTCCACATCAAGTTTGAAGCTATGTTGTTCTAGCTCAGTATCAAATAACCTTTTCTTTAATGCGAAAAAGTAGCCATGGGTTAAGAATACATATTGGCCTCCACGCGTTAAAAATTGAATATTAGAACATTTATCGTCAAAAGTCCAATGTTGGAACAGCTATTGAGACACTAGATAGTTCTCTCTTTTATATATATGCTTATCAAATGAGAAGCACACCCAACAACAGAAGTTTGTAGATAATTCCTCCAGATCCCAAAAACAACCAAGTACACAGAACTGGAATCAAATCCCTCCTTTCACAATCACAAGAAAGGAATGCCGAAAGAGTCCGGTGCGAGAGAATTACTTCAACATCTCTCCCGAATACTTGGCATCCATTCTGTCGCCCGGAGTCTGGAACGCTACGGAGACCCAGTCGCCAATACCTGCAATGCAAAATTTGATTCAGAAAAGGGGGCGATTCTGAAAAGGGTTATCCCTAGTTCAACAAATATGATCAATTCAACACATAGCACGCCAAATAGACTACGTTAATTGCACAGCGAGAAAAACAAGAACTGCATGTGCGGCTTTATCATGCTGAAAAGCATCAATTCACTACTCACGGGCGCATGTGGTACCTGCAGCTAGGGCTCGCTCTCCACCTACGCCGCCTCGGCCGCGCCCAGGCCTAATCGCCGGTCGCCGCTGCCGTCGTCGATGGCCGTACAGATCGCGCAAGGAAGCTGCGCACGGTGAACAGAGTAGAGTGTCGGGGGACGCTCGCCGAAGAGAGGAGGAGGAAAAGAAAGATCAAATTGCCTGGGGAGGGAGAGGGAGGCGCAACGCAAAAGTCTTGTAGAGGCAAATAAATTCTTAATAAAACCAAATAAAATAAAATAAGAGGTTTAGATTTATTTTCAAACCCATTTTAAAAAATATCTAACTGAATTAAAATAAAACTTGACTACAGTTGATTTCTTCACTGGAAGTCTTAAAACTTGAAAATTTTAGGATTCAATTGTATTTTTGTGATAAATTTTAGAATTTTAATACACTTATCCATTTTTTAAAAAATCATTTTACTCCTGTTCTGGCAACATCTTTCTGTCCGATCCACGAAAATTCAAAAAACATGCCCCGCATGAATAACATGAAAAGTAATTCGGTCCAATTCGCTCAAAATTCAGAAAATATCCGAAAGATTTGAGATTCAAATTACAAAAATTGCGTTTATCAGGAAAATCGATTCTCAAAAGCGATTCAAGAAATGTTTTTAAATTAGTTCCAATTAAATTCGGAAAAAAGACTTTTCTTCAGCATTTTCTTGATAGCGGAAACCTTCTAAACTGGTGTGATCACAACTAAACTGACGAAATGCTATCCATTTCGTTTATACAAATACTACATGTGACATTTGAATTACCGAGTTAAGTGTGCGTTTGTTTGAGGGAAAGTATTTTCCAAAAATCCGTTTTCCTGACTTTCACCCATTTTGTTCGTCGAAAATGGTAAGTCAACTGAAAACACTATCCGGTCAAGAAAAATATTCATGTATAAAATTAGGAAAGGAAATTCCCTAATCTAAAAAGGTGAAAACACTTTCCGGATTTGCTCATCTTGAATTTGTTAATATTTTTTATTTTCTTTTCTTTTCTATCTAAGAAGGAAAACAATCATGTATTTTCTTTTCTTAATAAGAATAATTTTAAAATAACAAATAATTTTAAAAAAATATAAATTTTTTTGATAATTTTCACCATGAGATTTTCCTCATCAAACAACTGAAAGTACTTTCCAAGTCTTTCTTGGGTTTTAGCCAAACACCGAAAAATGAACTCATTTTTCTAGAAAATGATTTCCTGGAAAGTATTTTTCAGAAATAGTTCATTTTCTGCGAAACAAACGTACCCTTGGACCTTGTTAAGAATCACCGTTCCACACTAGAATCTTCATTAAAAAGAATCAGATTCATCGAAAAAAATGAAGAAAAAGAAGCATGACATCGTTAATATTTTTCCATGCAATTATCGTTGAGATGAGGAGCGACGGTTCATATATTATGGAAAGAAAAAAAGAAAAAAAAAGGAAAAAAAGGAAAAAAATTAAAAGACAAAAATGGCCTTGACCCTAGTGATGTCTAATCCTTTTTCTGAGACCGATATGATCACTGCAGATCCTTATTTGACACAAGATTTACTTTAGGTCCTTGTTGGAGAAAATGAGGGCATTTCATGTCCTTATTTGAAATAAAGTCTGCTTCAAATCCTTATTTGACAAAATGATAGCACTTCATGTTCTTATTTGGAATTTTCGCCAATTTGAACCCTCTACAAAAATGATTATGAGATATTTTTCAAAATTAATCCAACTAGCCCACATCGGGGCAAGGAGCTATAAGGTGTCTGTAAAATGCGAGAAAATTGTTTAATTAAACAAGTGTTTCTGGAATGACAAGTGGCACGATAGAGAATCAAAACGTGGGTAAACCCTTTGCTCGGCCACTTTGACCTTTCCATTTTGTTTAAGGGTTAACATCACGAAAAACTCCAAACCGATATACTTATGACAAATTTATCTCAAACTAATTTTTTGATCACCAAAAACCTCAAATTGGTACATTTGTAACAATTTTACCCTACTCCGTTAGTTTCCATTAAATTTTACCGTCAAATTTCTGAGTTGGATGACATGTGGCAGTTGACGGGTGTACTAATTTAGGTTTTACCCTCCGTTTATCACAAGTATATCAGTTTACGATTTTTCGTGGTATTAATTTAATTTAACAAATGGTAAATTTTTCACAAATGTACAAGTCGGGGTTTTTTGAGGTCAAAAAATTAATTTTGGGTACATTTATGTGTACCGGTTTAGAATTTTTAGTGGTCAAAAATTAGTTTTTGGTAAATTTATTACATGTGTACTAATTTGAAGTTTTTCATGGAATTAACCATTTGTTTAACCCAGTCAAGTGACCAACCTCATAATAGGGCAAGACAATAAAGAATGCTAATTGAAAATTCAAAAATGAGGTCCAGAGGGGCAAAGGAAGTCATGTAACAAATATAGGCTACGTTTGGTCGTCCGAATTTGGATTGGATTGAGACAGGATAAGGTGAGATTATAAATCTTCCAAATATCTTCCGGATTGTAGAAAATTTCATCAGATGTTTGGTGCAATTCAAGATAAGATTAGAAATCTTTGAAAATCTCACTTGCCCAGCATAATCTTCCGCGATATCCAGATCGTAGCGCTTGAGCTCCCTCACCTCGTCTCCTTCACTGCTAGTTTCACCAGATCCACTGCCATCACCACCTCTAGATTGCAGTCCTTGCTTAGCTTCACCATTGATTTGGACATTGGCAAAGATGAGCCTCGGGTTGCCAAGGGCATCGCCGAGCAACCGGGGACGTAGCGGCCACGACGATCTCTTAGACAAGGCCGCAATGGCTGATATAAGGCTGTGACAGGGTGGTGAATGCCGCGCACAAAGCTTAAGTGCCACTTGACTTTGAAGTTGACGATCTGGGGGTAGTGAAGGGCAGAGAGGAAGTGGACGACACTAGAGCAGCGAGTAACGAGGGCATATACGCCTTTGTTGTGGACTATGACTTCGAAGGATCAGGCGCACTCATGAAATGATTCAAGCTTTTCGATGGTGATGGCCATGTGACTTATAACTTTTAATTTTCATCCTCAATTGCCAGACCATAATCAATTGGACGACGATGGCAATAGGTGGTGGCTGGAGGCGATGATGAGGTGGTAGGATGTGATGATAATCGGCTGTTGTGGAGGTGGTCCTTACTAGACCAAATGCGTCACTCCATCGTTGGAAGAAAATTGTTAAGTATTTTTCAAAAACAATTTATCTAATCCAGCTTTATCCCACCCAAGGTCCTGATTTAATTTCTGGCATTTTATCCATGTATATGTGGGTTTATCCAGTCCAGAATATGTCACCAAATGTCGGATAAAATATTTTGTTATCCTATCCGGACTCAAATTCGGACTATTAAGAGAGAGTCAGAAAGAGAGACAAAGACATTGCACACTTTGGAGATTGAAAAATTGACATGTTACAAGAAAATCACCTACGTCAAATCCGAAATTTTGCATTTTTCAAAGTTTATTTGATGAGTCATAATAAATGATCTGAGTGCACTATTTGAATACTTTAAAAAATGTATGAGGAATGAGATAACGAAAAAAAAAAGAGCCTCCTTCACTCTATACTAATCGGTGTGAACGTTGGGACACCTGCACCATTCAGTATAGTCATCGGCTAATCCAGATATGGCAGAATCTCCTATTAACAAGATTTGTCCTTTCCTCTCCTCCAAGTGGGCTCTATTCTTCCCATTGAGTTGAGCCGAATACTCACATATTGAAACCATTGAATTGCTTGGTCTAATGATAGAGGGGAGCCATCTTCTATGACATTATGAATTCAATTCGCATCGTAAAGGAGCCTATTAACTGCATGTGCCGCTTTGCCTAGCTATACATCACATCTCGTGCAAAGAAACTTCCTGTCAACTTCCTGATTTTCATCTCGCGGAGAAACTTCCCGCCTGTACCAACTTCCCGACCTTCTGATTTTTGGCATCTTAATGATGTTGCAGTGAAGGAGCTTGCTAATTCAGGATTTTCGATTCATGGGTGATGTGGAGTGAGAATCGCCCGGTATATATTGAGTAGCGGGACCCTAAAAAAAGGCTCAAATAAGGAAATCATGGACTAAACTTGTTCCACTACATCAAATTCTGTACAAAGGAACGGTGAGATATAATGTCCGATGTCTATGTTTAGCTGATACCATAAAAGATGGTCTTTCCTCTTTGGGAGCTTCTTCTTTGCAACCGTCGTCCTCGACCATTTCCCCAAGAAAAGACACAAAGCCCCATCAAACTCCACAAACCAAACCGTCGTGCGTTAACTTCACAATCACTCGCTCTTTTCTCTGGGAGCACGTCCAGATTGGCCTATCTTTCTTTTCTGACTGAGCAATGATGATGGCTGCTGAGTATCACTTCGCGAAGGGCATGATTAAGCCGTTGGCCGCGCTCGCCATGGTGGCGATGGCGGTGGGGCTGTCGTACTTGCAGAAGCTGTGCTTGGAGAGGGAGACGGCTTATTCCCTCTTCAGAGCATTTGTTCAGCTCACCGTGATCGGTTTCCTTCTGCAGTTCATTTTCAGCCGCCAAAGCGTTGTGTGGATCCTCTTGGTTTACATTTTCATGGTTTCAAATCTCTTCCTCCTCTGATCAGCTCCTTTTTCTTTCGATTTCGCAAACGATTGGTCCGTTGGTTAGTTATGTGGGAGGTTTTAAAACGTTCGACACTCCAGAGCAAGACTTTTCTCTTCCCCCAGTTATAGAAACTTCTTCTCTCTGTGTCTGAGATTCATGCCTCCATGTCGTCCTACGCTTAGCAAAAAGTAATCGGAAAATTCTATCTTTGAGTGCCGATCCAGCCGAATTCTATGCTGTCTCGACAAACTGACGTCGCCCAGGAAATACAACGATATTTGCTTTCGATCAGTAGAATCTGCATGGTACTTCGAACACAGTCGGGGTCGCAGATTTTCCCATTCCTAACGGGTAGAAATTTGAGACAAGAAATCACATTTAACTCGAGCACAAACACGGATAATTCCATTCCATTCATGTACCTGAAGATTTCGAGAGCTGGGGTTGCATCGAACATAGGTGGAAAATGTCATAGTAAACAAAATCACGGAATCACCCTCCTGATTTGCTTTTCGAATCAATGAAAAATCATGTGGAAATTAAGGCCACCAATTGGAGTACACTGTAATGGATATGGTATGATGTGTTCG